TTCCGACTAACACATTTTATTAAAAGGCATAAGCATTTGTAGCTGCAGCTCCCTTCATCAGAGGAACAGAGTGGTGAGACTAATGTAGGATTTAAATTGGGATGAAGTGTGGAGAGGGGAACAAGGAGACGACAGGTTGGTGATGCAGATGCAGGCTACATGTGGGACAGATCACAAGTACCTTATCAATTAACAACTGTAGCCTGTTAAAAACCCATTGTGTCAGTTGAGACTTTTCGAGATTGCCTGAAACGTTCTGAGGTTCAGCAACCTCTCGCTCAATGGTGCTGTTAAAAGTCTCATTTTTTTCCAAAATGGTCACTTTGAGGTCTGCAACACAGTGTTCTGGGAGATTGGAATGCTCTGATATTCCTTTATTGTTATTTGTTACAATAAGACTGTATAACTTGACTTTTTCTGATTAGTTTTTCTGACCACAGCAATTTGTCAGAAAGCTACTCTGTCATGCCCTCTGGAGCGAGTTGCTCTCCGCTATCCCTTTGTAAACTTTGTCTTTTTCCTGGTGAGGTGGGCACACTTCCAAACAAACCATTTTTATTCTCTAAAAATATTTTAATTTCATGGGCTCAGAGGCATTCTTGTAAATAAGGCTTCTACAGAATTGTACGTGCCTGTTTAGCATGCTGGCTTCCTGTTTATTTAAAAAAAGGGAATTAATTTATTTTGAAAAAAAGAGAAAAAGGAGGTGGGGCAAGGAGACTGGCAGGCACCAAGCGGAGTGACAGGGGAGCACATTGGCACCCTGGATGCCACATGAAGGAAATCCCAGATTTCTTATTTTCAAAGGGTGTTTCTTTAAAGACAAGAGAAAAACAGTGGTTGAAATTGACCATTGTGTTCATTTTGAAGGATACTTAAAAATAGAGTGCATGTGTGTGGAACTGCAGAATGACCCTCTTATGCATTGAAGCGACCAAGAATCTTTATAAGCAAATCCTGCATACTTTGAGTAAGATGTATTGCTCTGTTCTGTGGCATATTTCCTATTTTGTAAGCCCAGAGAACGCTGGGGAGGGGAAATGCTTGCAGAAGGCATGAGGCTTTGCAAATGGAAATGCATGGAGTCTCCCGAGGCTCTAAATTAAAAACAAATAATTATGATTAAAATTTTAAAAAAATCTTTGAAATGTCATGAGGTGGCCACCTAGTCTCTGTAGTCTTTTGTAAGATCTTGTGAGATATTGGCTGTTTTTAATTTAATATCTATTTAATGTAAACCAAAACAAAACTAAAACTATTTTGGATTGTGATATTGCACTAAGTCCCCCAGAGATGTCCACTATTTGCTGCTGAATACTGCAGAAGGAAGAAGAGCATCCTCAGAGGATCATTTTGTTTTTCTAAGAATAGTTCCTACTCTGTTCCAGTTGCTTATTTTCAGGTCTGTATCTGCTGAAAATTTGCATTGCTGGTTGTTTCTTGCCTTCTTCACCAACCTTTTCTTTAACAATCATAGCAGAAGAGTAGGAGAACATTGGGTGATTGCAAAGTTATCTCCATATCATCTGGACCTTCAAAAATTCCATAAAGGAAGCAGGGCAATTGTACCATAAAATCTCACATGGAAATGATCTTACTGATGGCCAGGAACCTAGACTGTGTTGCGCCAGCTGAGAACAATGTAAGAAAAGTCTGGTAGGGCTTAATGCACAAGATAAGAAGCCATCCTATACTGAACTCCCATGGTTTCTTACACAGAAATCAATTCCACTGGAATTAATGGTGCATATTTCCACATGTTGGGAGGATGGGGCCACCAAGCAAATGAGGTTGCTTAAGGCCTGTTGCCTAAGCAACTATCATTTGCCAGTGTGAGAAGGCTTCCGTCTTTGCCGCAGCAAGTTGTAAAAGAAATAATTGAGGAGGAATTGTAGAAATAGATACATACAATTGTTTACTTCTCTCTGTCTTGATTGAATATATTGATGCAATCACTTGGGAATTTTGTTTGGGAAAATATTTTGTACATAACTTGTATATGGCCACAGCACATCTGTGAGGTGTGAGATCTTAACCCACTGATACTGTATTTGAGAGACAAGGATTGTTCACTGTTCTGTTGAACTTTGTATGGATTAGATTCTGTCTGTTCAGACTTCAGTTTAATTTGGCATTCCTTTAGTGGAGGTGTTAGCTGAGCTTAGAGTGCAGATGGTATGGGGTCCATCTGGAACCTTCATTTTAAAAAATATCCAATGAATATGTGGATTAATTGAGTAAAAGAGATCCCCCCCCTTTTTTTTTAACTGTGAGAGTATGGAGTGAAAGGTCATACGTTACAACCAGTGGTAGAACTCACTGATTCCCTTCCCTGAGTTTGGGCATTTAGAGCATCTGATTCTACATTGCTTAACAATAGAGTTGGGGGTTAGTATCCAAAGGTGTTGTGAGATCTGGACATTGTACAGTGTTTTGGAATTGTTTCAAAACAAGTGATTCATGAACATAGTACATGCCTGAAACTCTTTAAATGAGTTGGGATCAGATCGGTGCCCTTCGCAGCCGTGGGTAGAATGTTTGGAATTGAATCCAGAGGTGCTGCACAGCCTTAATATACACACATGCAAATGACTAGCATGTGGGTATATAAAAGGATTTTATTTGATAGGTTATTTTATCTTTTTGGCATTTATACTGAGATCATGCTTCAGCAAATGTAATTATGATAATCTACGTTTTGCAATAATATTTGAGGAGAATAAGTTACATACCCACTGCTGGAACACAGCTAAGTGGAGTCTTTTTCAGTTTTTCAAGATTACCAACTGTTTTTGTCAGTTTACCTAATTTGGAGAGAGCAAAATGCAATAAAAAGGCAGAAATATTGCAGGAAATATTTTTGTTCTTAGATATTGTAATGGAGAATTTGGAGAAAGCAAGAAGGGGCGGTGGATAAATAGTGGCTCATAATTTGCTGTTAACAGAATTTTTGAGTCACCGGGTATGTAAACTGTTCACTCGATTCCAACTTTTCATTTTGCCTGTGATATTCAGATGTTTACATCTCAGATTTAAATAGGTTGCTCAACTGATTTTGCCAAGCCAAGTTTAAAATTACACTGATTTACTAGCAACTTGTTTGCCCACAGTAGGTGCTTTCAGATATCATAATAAACTGTGATTTATAAAGATGAAAGAGAGGAGATAATCTGATTGTTCATATTTCCCCCCTGCTCCCTGCCTGCTATTTTTGCTTCTAGTTTAATTTAGCATTATATTGAACCTTATGATTTAGATGAATTGTGATTAGTTTGAAACAAAGTCTTTTTTCATTTAAAAAAATAGATGCAAAAGTTAAAATGTGCCTGAAGTTTTAGAGGAGGATGTTTTGAGGGGCCAGTATTTTCCTTGATTTGTTCCCATCACCAAACCATGGTTTACAGCAGAGATTAGCAACTAGAGGCACTCACAGTACATGGTCATGTCTGTGGAACCCCCAAATTAAATATAAACTATTTTTAACAGCCAGAGCAGGAAAATGTTACAAATTTCAGGCAAAAAGATCCAAGTTCACAAGAATTTGGGTGTGAATGCATGAGATTCCATGCATTGCCAAAATCTCACAATATTTACAAGATCTTGTAAGAGTTTCACCATTTTTAGTATTTTGGCACTCATACCTATATTTGCCAACTCCTGGTTTACAGTGATAGTCAGGTACTGGAGTTATCTCCTTGGCATGGTTTAAAAATGTTTTGTGTGTGACGAAACAATGCAGATATGCAGAATGTTCCATCATTTAATATTTTTACTCCAAAAAAAGTTCTGTTCTGACTTTGGAATGAGTTATTCCAAGTATTGCAGAAGTGGTCTTCTGTATCTCAAAATCAACCCATTCAGGGGTCAGAAACTTTGTGGAACACTCAGAATGGTTTGTTCCAAGGTTGGAATAGTCCATTCTAAGATTGGAACATTCCATGACATTTTACACGTCTCTGTTTAATGCATTGCTACCACTACCTTATGCTGATGCTGACTTTTGAAAATGGCCATATAATCCTAAAATTAAATTAGAATTGGATTTACTGGGCTTGTTTACATGTGCATTTATTAAGTTATTTTGACTAAACGTCTTGCTTAACTGGCTAGCTAGCTACCTACATTTTATTTTTAAGTTGTCAGCCTGGAGAATTGTATATTCTTCAATGTGGATGTATTGACATAATTAGGGTGCATCCATATTTAAACATAATTCCCATATTTGTAGCATAGATAGAATTTGGTACATACAAATTAATCCCTTTTTCCCCTTCATCTGACAGGGGAAAATCCTTCAAAAATTCCTGTTCCATTGCTGGAACATACTTACACTGTCATTCTTTCTTCTGTGTTCAGAATTGGACCCTGAATATACTTCTTTATAAATCTTATTCTAATTTCAATTTCTGATCAAGAATTTTTTTCCTGAAGCTTTTTTCCTAAACAGATGAGACATTACAATTATGATTATTCCATGAATATTTTCTTGTCTCCTATCCCTAGAGAGGGGCACAGATTTCTTTTTAATGTTAGGGTGTTGAACAAATTGAGCTAAGATGCACTGAGTTTGAGTTAAATGTTTCAGTGGAACTTTTGTGATGCTGTTTTAAAATATTAAGCTTAGTAAAGAACATGGATAAGAATTTTTCAATGAAATGCATAATATTATTCAGATACTCTATGCTAATTATCTTTTTAATGTAATGTAGTGAACTCTCATTAAATAGGGCTGAAATTACTAGTTTTGATCATTTTGATGATATAGTGCTGATATGTTTTATGTGTACATTGTATTAAATATTTCTGCTATGATTGGTTAAAATTGTAACCATTTCCATACTTGGGAATTTTCAACATAATTAGAGAGGTTAGACTGTTCACTGGTGGATTGGTAAAATTAGTGGGAAAAAAAGCCACATAAGCTTTGTTTCCATTGATAGGTTTAAAAAGTGTGTTAAAAAACATAGTACTGATATGAAGCATTTCTTTTTGTTTTCTAGATTGACTTCTAAAAACTAACGTGACCATGGGAGATATGAAGACTCCAGACTTTGATGACCTGCTTGCAGCATTTGACATACCAGATATGGTTGACCCAAAAGCTGCTATTGAGTCTGGACATGATGACCATGAAAGCCACATAAAGCAGAACGTACATCCTGATGATGATTCCCATGCACCATCATCATCTGACGTTGGTGTAAGTGTCATTGTGAAAAATGTGCGGACAATTGATTCCTCTGAAGGAGTGGAGAAAGACAGCCACCATTCCACAGGCAATGGGTTACACAATGGTTTTTTAACAGTATCAGCTCTAGAAGGTTATAATAAAGAGGAAGGAAAATCACTCAAAGATGAGGGTTCAGTCTCAGAAAATACGCTGAAAGAGTCTGCCTTTAACCAATTTAGTCCTATCTCAAGTGCTGAAGAGTTTGACGATGATGAAAAAATTGAGGTTGATGACCCTCCGGATAAAGAAGACATACGTGGAAACTTCAGAACAAATGTATTAACAAGGTCTGTATCCCAGCAGGACTATGAGAAGTTAAAAGTACTTGGAGGAGAAAACTTGATTAAACACGGAGTTGCAGGTTCAAGTAATTCTGATAAAACCAAGGTTGCTAAAAGAGACTCAGAAACAAATGCATCACCTTTAGGTCTCTATGAACCCTTTAAAGCTAGAAAGATAGATGATAAGCTGCTTAAAGAAAATTCTGAAAAACTACTTGAAAACAGAGCAGTTGATGGGAAAATAAATACAGAGAAAGGAGAAGCAAACCTTATCAGTCATTCACAGGCTAAAGCAAAATCATCAGCAAAACTCTCTTCCTGTATTGCTGCAATTGCAGCTCTTAGTGCTAAGAAAGCAGCAACAGACACTGGTAAAGACCCACAGTCCAATTCAAGAGAGCCTTCTCCCTTGCAGAAAGATACCAATGAAAGTCCCCGCGTCATTGACAAATCACCTGAATCTCAAAGTCTTATTGACTGTGCAAAAAAACCCTCTGTCAAACAGCCTGATAGTCCCAGGAGTATATCGAGTGAGAACAGCAGCAAAGGTTCTCCACCATCTCCTGCAGGCTCAACACCAGCAATTCCAAAAGTGCGTATCAAAACCATCAAGACGTCGTCAGGGGAAATCAAGAGAACGGTTACACGTGTGTTGCCTGAAGTTGATTTGGACAGTGGTAGGAAACCAGAGCAAGCAGCTTCCATGGTGGCTTCTGTGACATCATTGCTTTCTTCCCCAACTTCTGCTGCAGTTCTTTCCTCTCCCCCTAGAGCACCTCTACAATCAACAGTGGTCACCAATGCTGTTGCTTCTGCAGAACTCACTCCCAAACAAGTCACTATTAAGCCTGTTGCAACTGCTTTTCTTCCTGTATCGGCTGTGAAGACAGCAGGATCACAGGTTATCAATTTGAAACTTGCAAACAACACTACGGTGAAAGCCACCGTCATATCTGCTGCTTCGGTGCAAAGTGCCAGCAGTGCCATCATCAAAGCCGCCAATGCTATACAGCAGCAAACAGTTGTGGTGCCTGCCTCAAGCCTTGCCAGTGCAAAACTTGTGCCAAAGACAGTCCATCTTGCCAACCTTAATCTACTGCCTCAAAGTGCTCAGACCACCTCTGAACTCCGCCAAGTGCTCACTAAACCTCAGCAACAGATCAAGCAGGCAATAATTTCTGCAGCAGCTTCTCAGCCTTCGAAAAAAGTATCTCGGGTTCAGGTGGTGTCATCTTTACAGAGCTCTGTCGTCGAAGCTTTCAACAAGGTGCTCAGCAGTGTTAACCCCGTCCCAGTTTACATCCCAAATCTCAGTCCTCCTGTAAGTGCAGGCATCACTTTACCCACACGTGGTTATAAATGTTTGGAATGTGGTGACTCATTCGCCCTTGAAAAAAGTCTGACACAACACTACGATAGGAGGAGTGTGCGGATCGAGGTCACTTGTAACCACTGCACAAAAAACCTTGTTTTCTATAACAAATGCAGCCTTCTTTCTCATGCTCGTGGTCATAAAGAGAAAGGGGTGGTAATGCAGTGTTCTCATTTGATTTTGAAACCAGTTCCAGCAGATCAGATGATAGCTTCTCCCACAAGCAATAGTTCTGTTACGTCATCCATTCTTCAGAATCCCACTGGAGTGGGCACCCATACAATAACAAAGATACAGTCTGGCATAACTGGGACAGTCATATCAGCTCCTGCAAGTACTCCTGTTCCACCAGCCATGCCTCTAGATGAAGACTCTTCGAAACTGTGCAGGCACAGCCTGAAGTGTTTGGAATGTAATGAAGTTTTCCAGGATGAAACATCTCTAGCCACACACTTCCAGCAGGCTGCAGACTCAAGTGGACAAGTACAGTATCTTATGTTTACATTCCAGTATTTCTGCAGTGTGCAAAAACCATTTGGATGGGGGCTTTTTCCTAGTGTTCTTTTAAAAATAACTTTTTCCTTTAGGGCAAAGCACTGAAACAATAATTTTAAAATTGGGAGGATATTGTTTGAAAAGTAGTTAGTCCTTTGAAAGAACAAAAGTGGTTTGGAATTCCTGTTTAGCCCTTTATATTTAACCCTTTATTCATTTAGAATATAATTTATATAAGTTATTTATTTAGTTCTATACTGAAAAGTCAGAATAGAGCTGTAATAGTCCAGAAATTAAAGGTGTAGCCAGTTGTAAAACAGTATCATATACATTTCTGCAGCTTAGTGTAGAACTCCCTAATGAAAGTTATAGACTAACCCCATAACTATGGAACTAACCATTTTCCTTGTCTCAGTTTTGTTGGGATCTGGAAATGGAGTGAATTAGACATGCTACAGTTCCCTCCATGCCTTTTTCTACATTTCTACAGATGGTTCTTGTTGCCTCCTAGCAACCATAAAAAAAGATGACAGTGGCGGGAACAAGTGTGTGTGTAAATTACAGGACAGGCCCCATTATATGATTAGTAGATTCACTTCAGCATTCTCCAGCATAATAATCTTAGATGGGCAGGGAACAACAATTCCCAGAATTCCTGACACACATCCGGAAGACACTGTTTTGGGAACAGCTGTGTTAGAGGTTTGCTGGCATGTTCTGTTTTCTTCAGTAGGAGCCACGATTACTGAGCATGCCATGCTGGACATTTTGAACATGGACAAATATTAGGGAAACTGAAATGAAAAGCAAAATGACAACAAATAGTGGAAGACTATTCCTTATTGAGACTTAAATGGTTGCTCTTGTGACCTTTGGTTTTGACAATCAAGAGTTACCTAACACATTTTCTGTTTTTATAAGTGCTTGAATTAATGTTAGCAAATGTTGCTATTTACTTAAGTTGCATAATGCAAGCTGTTTTATGGGAACCTTTCCCAGTTTGTCAGTCAACTGATGCAGCCTTTATTTCTTTTTCCTAGTTAAGCTTTTTCTATAAAGCTTCCTTATTCTGGCCTCTAGTCTTTTCAGCAATATTCTTGCATGAAATCCATGTAACTATGTCTGCTGTGATGTATAGGCCTGTCACAAATTTTTCTGAAGCTGGCTATTAATTGCTGTTGTTTCCTACTATATGGTAGATTTTGTGCTTGGCTCAACATCTCCTGTACTAAATGGCTTTTAATGGAATAGATGGAGGAGCTCCATATCCTTGCCCAGTGTGGACCTTGTATTAAGGGTTTACAGTGGTGGCAACAATACAAATGAAACATCCCAAATGCTAATATATGTTCTTCCAAATAATTAAAGTTTTCCAGTTACAGAAGAACAAAAGTGAAATGAAGCCCAGCTATCTGTCTGTACTTCATTTCCTTGAACCTTCTCTAGCAATTGACTGTCCAAATAAAAATGTTGCACAAAGTCTTAAAAAGAGAAAATACTGTAGACTGTTGGACAGTATATGCACGTGTGGGAAAGAGAGGAAAAGGCCATCCAAGGTACCTTGTATGCCTCAAAGGCATTTGTGTTTCTCCCTGGTGCAAGAAAAAGAACAACGTTCTGTTAGAGATAGCATCTCAGTCTGAATAGTTTTTTCTTTCAGCTTGTGATAGGTGTGGAGGGGTGAGATAGTTCCATTTAAAATAAGTCTTCCTGCAATTTTTCATTGGCATGCCTTGATACCATATAAAATTGCTATCAGGATCATAGAGCGGTGTGCCACTGAGGGAAAACATCTATGAACTGATCAAAACTTACACATAGGATAAGGAGGATAATTTTCTGGAGTGCAGTCTGGTACATCACTGGTGATTATGCTTGCAATCAACAAAATCCTGCCAATAAAACCTTGCTTATGCTTTTCCTTCTAGTAGGATATATAAATACAGATAGTCCTTACTTAACGGTAATTGGGATCAGAATTTCCTTTGCTAAGCAATGCAGTAATAAAGCACGACGTCAAGTGCCTGCACTGCTTAGCAGTGGAAATTCCAGCACTTCCAGTTGTCGTCATTAAGCAAATCACCGTGAGTCGTTAAATGAGGGCATCATGTGGTCGCCATTTGTGACCTCCTGCAGGCTTCCCCATTGACTTTACTTGCAGGAGGCTGGTAAAGAAGGTCACAAATGTCAATCATGTGACCACGGGGACATTGTTACAAACATAAGGACCAGTTGTACGTACCACTCATTCAGCACTATCGTAAGTTCAAATGGTTGCTGAATGAGTGGTCGTTAAGCAAGGACCACCTGTAATATTTTCCCTTTACACTTGTGTAACTTGAGATAGAACTTCTTCCAGATATGTAGTTATTTATCAGTTACCCATCTTCTGCAAGGAATGAATTCCTGATAAAACTGCCACTCCAGAAAGCTAAAAAAGCAAACAGACATGCTAATATCCTGACCAGAAGATTCATCATCTGTGTTGGGCTGATATATGTGCAATTATGACGGGCAGTTGAAAAAAGGATCTCTTAATACATGCAAAGAGGGAGTATAGATCAATTCTACAGGGGAATCTTACACTGGAAGGCTTTTACAACCCTCACTTTCAAATGAAGATACAAAAATTCATCTAGAATTTCAAAGCTTTTGAAGGAGATACTTAGGAGTTATGATATAGTATTCTTTTATTTGCAAACAGAAATACTGGCCCCATGCTATTCAAGATTTTAACAATTATCTTAAGGGCTACTTTGGGCCATGTGAAGCTCTTGAACTTCATTATTCACATCTGAAACTCTGCTTTCCAAGCCACTGCTAACATCATTGGAATGGGAAGTGCACCAGGACAGAGTCTTTTTACTGGTGGTGCCAGAATTGTAAATTGCTTTCTCTGGGCAGAAAAGAAATGCTGCTGATTGTACATGGAAGCTTTTATTTAATTATATTTTGAAAGGTCACTTATGGGCAACCCAGTTTGCATTCCTCATTTTCTTAGTATTGTACTTTATGATTAAAACAAGTTGATAAAGCAATCTAGATTTTAAAAAAAAAATTCATTTCAAACATGGGATATGAATAATATCAGTAAATTACCAGATCCTTGCTTATGTTTCTCTGCCTAAAAAAAGGCAAAACAGTAACATCCCAGAGAATATATCAATATAATACTTAATCCCCCAAAGGATAATATACATGTTTCCAATAATTCAGAGGAGACTGATGCAACTAAAACTCCTGATAATTAAATAAGACTCATTAGCACGGCTGTGTTTTAGTTAGTGGAATAGTTGTGTAATTAATTTTGCTAATGCACATGGATCTGGTATGCTGACTAGCTATGATGCTGCTAAATGAGAAATCCATATTTCATATAATTCTCATTTGTTACAATTAGAGACTATAACTCATTCAGTTTATTCCCTGAATCAAGGTCCCCATTTGGTCATCCTGGCTAGGAAGTAGGAGGGTTGAAATCCATCATCTGTAGGAAACCAGATCGCAGAAGGCTGGGATACATGTATCTCATCCTTTTTGGATTGTTAGAATATCATGTGTGTTGTTAAATCTGCATAGCTTATCTGATGTTTTATGGAGTAACTTATGAATAGAGATAAGCTTTGACAATAAACGTTCATTACTCTCTGGAAGTGATTGCACATTCTATTTCTTTTTGCCTCAGTAGTCTTTGACCCAAACTTTTGTGTCTGCATTTGCTGTTTTTTGAGTTTCTCCAAGTGCCATTCTGGATGCAGGGACCTGTTCTCAAATTATGTCCAAGACAGAGGTCTTCATGCAGTGAACTCAGTAGATCAGATCAAAGATGGCCTCACCCCCTGTGTAGCATACCTTTGTAACCATGACTTCCACTGTTCCTGCTAAATTAGGGTGCTGTTCCAGAGTGAACAGGTAGTATAGATTGCTGGCTCTGCTGCTGCTCCTTAGTCTTGCTGTCCTCTCCTGAGGAAAGAGGCAGTGATGGGTGCAAGGAGGAGAGAGAGAGAGACAGATAGCACCCACTCTCCTCTTCTGGATTGCTGTGTGGATTGGAACTGGAAGAAAAGTGGCAAAAACTGAAGCAATCCTGGAGAAGACATTATAGATAATTATTACCAAAGGTCCTGCTGGACTAGAGTTGTCCAGAGGGGACTCTTTATGCTATTCTGAGGTAATAGGGGCCACCTTACCAGTTGGATCCATTCCATAAGCCCTTCCATCCTAGGTGCCTGTGTTGTGTCCCTAGAATCACGGTGTTCACACTACACCTAAGCACATTTTCACATAGATGAAAATCTAGCAGATGCACTAATACCTCACGCTCAGCTTGATTTGAATCATCTCTCATTAGTTTTTTGTAAGTGGCTTCATATGTTGTGCAACTCTGCCCATTTGGTTATATGTATTGTGCCTATCCAAAAAATGGGCTAACCAACTTATGCATCGTTTCAGTGTGCAACCAGTGTCTAATGGAATGCAAGAAAACAAGGGAATGAGTGTCCGACTCCAGAAAGTCCGAGTTACAAATAGTGGTCATTCAAGTCCAATAGTGCTACTGAATCTGTTGCCACTACCCTATGGCCTCTTTTGCATAGTATGTTTAATTCAGGCAACCACTACCTGAGTCATAGCTACTTAGTACTGATTCTGGTAGCATTTAGCCACACGGGTTGGATCAACATGTTGGAGAATACAACATCTCTGCTCGATCCATAAAGCACCTAGTATCTCATGAGATCTTGCCTGAGAAGAAAGCTGCAAACTCCATGCTATCATTAGCTCCTGCCCCATTGCCTAGGCAGTCACAGGTACCCAGGTTTGGGTGCTACAACATGCAGTTTTGTGGCTTCCAGGACTCTGCAGCGAGTTGTGTAATGAAACCTTGCTTTTTCATCTGCTCTCCATTTTTCTTGGATTGGGGCTTTAAAACTACACTTTTTAGATTGGGTTATGTTTGGCACAACATGTCTGGCCCTGAACAAACCCAGGGCTGTTTTGGACTCAGATTAACTCTCCTGTCCACTGCTCACTGAATTGTGATGTTCACGTAATATTAGTCCACTGCTAGCTCAATTAAACATTTTGTGCCAACCTAGCCAGTAAGTAGCTATATGGGGGATATTGTCTTGAGTGCCCATCTCTCATAAAGACAGCCTGGCTAATGTCAAATGTCCTTTCTCCTGTTAGACTGTCCTAACTGAAATTCTTAAGTCTGGAGAGTTGATTGGTTATGAGATATAAGACAACAGGTTTTTTTACCCCAGAAATCTTTTGATGTGCTTCTTCCGAAGGAAGATCAAAATCAGCAAGATGATGGGTGGATCTTCATGATGCAAGTCCTGCCCCTTTTCTATGTGCATTGACATTGCATGCATGTTAAAAGGAGGTGAGACTTGCATTGTGATGCTCCACCTGCCATCTTGCCAATTTTGATCCCCCTCCCTCCCACTTCTTCAGAAACAGCTGCTTCAGATATTTAGTTCCAGCTGAAAAAGCTTTACAAACTCTTTCTGGTTTGGCTAAAAAGATGATCAAGGCAGAAACTACTAACTGTTAATAAAAAGTTGTCTCTGAAGCCTACTAGCTAGGTAACTAAGGCACGTTAACAGTTTTGATCTAGAATGGAAAATAAGTGGATAATTATGGGATTGTGCAGGAGGTCCACCCTGACTGCATCATAATTTCTAAACCCCCTAAAACTGAGTAATGATGGCAAACCCAAACAGGAGGGAGCCCTTTTGATATGTAGACATCCATAGTCTAAACTATTTCTATTCCTGGTACTTTTTATTACTGTCCAGAGATTTCCAGCTGTTAGTCATTGTATGCTCTCCTTCTGGACAAGATTGTCCCATCTGATCCTATGCAGTGCAATCCTGCAATGGACTGGCTGTACTGAAGTAATGCCATTTTTTTCCTTTATAGATTATATAGAATCATGTCATTAACATTTGTTTTGAAAAATCCATCAGACATGCCTGTAAGTCCTTTTTATCAATTGGTTTGGTACATCAGTTGGGGACTGAATAAAAGCACAAAAATCTTTAGCAAATGATCTCTGCCCTCAGATAACTCAACAAAAATGACACATAGCCAGTAGTTGTGCATTGTTCACTATACAGTGTAAACAAAAAGAGGAGGAGTAGAAAGCTCTGTTTGGAATGAATGGCTCTGTAGTTTTATAAACCGGAGCTCCTCTGTTAGAAATATATAATATATTGCAAACTGTATTCTGGGTTTTAACCACCCAGTCTGTGCATACTGACTGCTGAAGCACGTTCTGTCTTCTGAGCCTTTTTCTCTAGTAAATGTGATTATTGTGTATCGATTAGTTTACTATTCCACCTTCCCTGCAGGAGCTCCAGCTGTTATTTGCACTCCCACTTTCATTTTGCCCAGAACAACAACTCTGTGGGGTAGGCTGGCCAAGAGATAATTGACTGGTCAAAATCACTTCCATGGCTGATGGTGAACTTGAACCTAGGCTCCAGGTCCTAGTCCAACCCCTTAACCATTAAGTCACATTGGCTCTTCATGCCATACTGAGCTCTTCATGCCATACTGACCTATAGCCTCTGTCCTATTCATAAAACATTGGTCTAATTTTGCAAGTTGGCAGGGGAAAAGTAAAAGGTATACCAACAAGATTTTCTTGTAGAATATAAAAGATTTCGTAGGGTCTTGGTTTTTTTAAAATATAAGGATCTTCATTAAAATGTAGAATTCTAATACCATTTCCCTTCTAGACAACAGCAAGACTTGGAACAAATTCATTTCAGTAATGTAGAGGACAGCAATATGGTTTAGAGTTCAGATCCCCTATTTTTTTTAATTAGACATTTTAGAGATAGCGTAGAAGCAAACACAAATAAAAGACAAGTGAAAAGAATAAGATTCAGGGGAATAAGCAAGTGATCTAAAAATATCATGGAGGTTTCAGTTTTCCAATATATCATTAATTATTTATAAATCATTGAATATATTATATCACTTTAAAAGACTAAGAAGCTTTCAGAGACTATTAAGCTTTGAGCTGAGAATAAATATAAGGAACTATGGTCAAGTTAGTATAAATCACAGACTGAAATAAGCTATAATAAATTGAATTGCTACTGAGAATCTATTCTAATTTAAATATCCCATGAAGTTAAAATACAGAGTGTATATGTAGAGAACCCCACATTTTGGATGAGGTACAAATCTATGTATTAAGTAATAATCCAGAAATGGTTTCCACTTTGAATTGAATTCTATGTGAGCTTTATTTTTAAGGTGCAACGTTATTCTGGACATTGACACATACTCCCACAACTTTGTTAATCATTCTTTCAAGGAGGGAATCAAACAACCTTTCCAGTATGAAGCATATAATATCCTTGCAGCACTTAGCATATACTTTGAAGGGGTGTATGGTTTAGTAAAGTTTAATAAAAAAAGATGGCCAGTTGAAATGGTAATTCAGCCTTTAACATTTGTTTCATTGTAGTCTGGATCATTTTCCAGAATTGTTGAGCTTTACAACATTGCTACCAATTATGAGATAATGATCTGATTTGCTCATTAAATTTCCAGCAATTTTTAGAGAATGAATTGTCCAATTTAGCTATCAAAACTGGAGTAATATACCAGCAATAAAACAACTCAGATCCTCTGCTTAGTCCCAAAGCTTGCTAGTATTCTAAAGCCAGTTACTACCTCTTTGCTTAACCAAGATTGCTGTGAACTGAAATGGTAGAATGAACACAAAACATGCTGAAAGTATCTGATGTAGGTTCCCCTTCCCTCTGGATTTGAGACAACCTTCTCCAAATTCTGTCCTCCAGCTGTGTTTTGATTTCAAGTCCCTAAATTCTCAGCCAGCCTAGACAAAGAATTATGAAGTTGCAGGTCCCAACTCACCTGGTAGGCACAAATTGGGGAAGAATTGGTCAGGCATAACAGGCTTAGCTATTTTCATACCCCATAAAGATCTGAGTTGATTTTAAAAAAATGTTGCATTATAAATCCATACTCTAGAGGGATTAAATTTTTCCTAAGAAGTCTATTTTCTGAACTGAATATTAGCAAGCAGTGTGTCATCCCTTCAAGGTAGTTCAGGCAGAAAACCAAAACTATGAGTACTAACATTACCTTTATTGTAAGGTTACAGGAACAGAATCTTGCAAGTCTGAAAGCACTTCCTCTCTCCCTTGCCTTTACTTTCCACAGAACTGGGGGGGGGGGGGTCCCTTCTAACATGCTTTCTCTATCCCCATTCCTTCTGTGGACTGAAATAACTCTTGTCTGACTGTTGTCTAGGCTGCAGCTCTTCCTCCTGTCTCCCAAAGTTATTCTCAGCCCATTACACAGTGTGATACTGCTGCAAAAAATGCAAATTCAGTTTTAGGCTGTGTTACTAGAAATGTCATTTTTAAAATATTCTGCTTTGGTAAACACCACCCTTTGAGAAGGATTCAGACAAACTTAAACAGGTTTGGGAAAGGGACCTGAGGATGACTAGAAACTAAATTCTATGAAGAGACATTCAAGGAGCTGAGTAGGTTTTGTTTTGAGAAAAGATAACTAAGGAGGGAAATGATAGGACCGTTCTGAAAGAATGTCGTCTAGAAGAAGGTCAAGAAAGGTTTTCTGTAGTTCCACAGTGTAGGATGCAGAATAATGAATTTACCTTAGAAGAAGGCAGATTCTGACTGAAGGTTAGAAAAAACTTCCTGACAATAAGAACTGTTCAGCAATGGAACCAAATGCCCAGAGAGAAGGTGGGCACCACTTCACTGGTTGCAATCAAAGGGAGGCAATTTAAACAAAAGAAGGGAGATCTGCTCCAAGGAATTTATAATCTAATTTCATCTTAATGGAAGAGAAGAGGGTAGAAGAGGAAAGGGTAAGAAGTGAAGACAGTGATGAATAAACACTTGTACCTTACTGATTGTAATGGACAAGTTCTTAATCTAGATGTGTAAAAGGACAAAGAGTCAATTATAAGTGATTGTAGATAATGGCCATTGTATTGTTATTATTTTAAATTGATTTCTCAATGACGGTATTTCATACTGTGATTTCATTTTTAAAGTTTGTTGTAGGTCATAACCAACTCTGTAGAGTATTTGTGCCTAGGTTCAATGGCTGATTGTCCCCTTTTTTTGGTTCTGTAGAAGACCTGCGGTATCTGCCAGATGTTGCTTCCAAATTTGTGCAGTTTTGCATCACATCAGAGGATTCATCAGCATAAATCTCCATATACATGTCCTGAATGTGGGGCCATTTGCAGATCAGTCCACTTCCAAACTCATGTCACAAAGAACTGCCTGCATTACACAAGAAGAGTTGGATTCCGGTTAGTATGATGATGATGATGATGATGATGATGATGATGATGATTCAAAGCTATTCAAATATATACAAAAATCACACTTTGTTAGGACTGGAAAGGAAGAATTCCCCTCCTTTTTCAATATCTTAATTATCTTATTGATTAAAGGGGTGGGGACATAGTGGTAGAAAATTTTTCTCATTAGAAAATGTTTTTTACCTTCTAGATCAGCCTAACTGCTGTCTCATAGAGGACCAAGCTGTACTTACAACTTTTGTCTATGCTTGTTAAATGGTGGTTCTGGCTGTAGTGTGATTTTTGGAGATGCTTACTCAAGTTAGTTTCTTGGAACAGGTTCAAGCCCTACTTATCTGACCATAGCCTTGGTAACAGCTCTTCCTCCCATCCTTCAAGGCCATTCCCTACGTCGTCTACATTTATACAAATATACAACTATACAGCATTTTAAATACTCCTTTAGATTTGAGGAGATTTACAATCAAACACAAGAAATAATGGTAAAGCATAACAGTTCTCCAACTGAACTAAAGTATCCCAATTCATCTACCATCACTGCCCAAATGCCCTGTGGAAATTTTTGGCATTTGATTCCATCTTAAAGCCAAAAGATAGGGGCCTTCTGCATCTCAGGAGGCAAAGTATTTCAGTGTGTAGGGCAGTGTTTTTCAAACAAGGCAACTTTAAGATGTGTGGACATGCTGGCTGAGGAATTCTGGGAGTAAAAGTCCACACATCTTAAAGGTGCCAAGTTTGAAAAACACCGATGTAGGAGGAAGCACTGAGAAGGCATATCAACAGATCTTCACCTCCTCACTTTACACAGGATGGAGTAAACCTTCAGCATACCCTCCATATATAAGATGGGCTGATCTTGCCAAGAAACACAGTCTGGTTCAAAATGTAGTCTATGAAAGCTGGTTTGTTTTCACTTGATCACCATTTAGGGTTCATAAAATATGGTGATGCTTCCATTATCTTCATACTGCACCCCAAGGGGCGGGGGGCCTACAAGGTTTGCATAATTTAAATCTAACCCATAGTTTAATATGATGTGTGAATAGCTCAAAATTTTGAAAAGCACTTTCCTAGCATGGAAGAAAAGTTGCACTCTCTCATCTTTTTTTTTCTTTTAAATTCTACTATATTTATTTTCAATATTATAGTTATTAAGTTGTAATCTTTTTTTATTAGCTGCGCCCTGCTGCCAGGTATAAAGCCAACATAGGAATATTTAAAACAAACATGTCATCAGAGGCCTCCAGGAAACCTGAGATGTGCATTTTCCTTGCTGCTGTGGATTCTGTGAGCAAGCCTGTGATCACACGTGGCCTTGCTCACCTAGCTATGTCCCTACAGTACATCCTGCACAAGGGATGCTGGGGAATTTCTCCCATGTAATATAGCTGCCGAAGAGCAGACACCTTGGACTAGTTGTCCTCTTCTGTATTGCTGGAAAGGCGATTGTGGATCTTTTTAAAATTATTATTATTTTATTGCAAATTTATTTCACTTCCAGAATTTTTCTGTATGCAGATCTGAGGTTCATGGTGGCCTATTATGTAGGAAGGTAAAAACTCTTGGCCTACTCCATCACCTGTTATTTTTCTTCCAGCTACAATAAGAACCTTTTCCAGTGCTTATTGGAGAATTTAGCATGCTTTCTTTTCGGTTTCTGTTTGAATAATATTCTGTGTCCAGTTAGAATTGTGTGCAGGAAACTTCTGCATTATCGTTCACCACTCTGTCCTGGAGAAGATATTGGCCAATACATCCTGGAAGGCTCCAACCCCATATCTTTCTTACAGCTGTGTTCACTGCAACGTGGTATATTCCGACGTGGCTGCACTCAAGTCCCATATCCAAGGTTCTCATTGTGAAGTCTTCTACAAGTGTCCTATTTGCCCAATGGCGTTCAAATCGGCACCCAGCACACATTCCCACGCCTATACACAACATCCTGGAATCAAAATAGGGGAGCCTAAGTAAGTGTCATTTTTGTCAAATTGCAGAAATTATTAAAGCTGAAATGGCATACTGTGCTTACTCTCCTACGAAATATATCCTATATATTATGATAGGGCTTTTGTTTTTCATATGCCATTTGAGAAGCAGGAAAAGGCAAAAGCACTTAGCAATTTGAATTGCTAGAGCTGGAGGGCACGTGCTGTGCCTTTTAGACAATGCAGTTTTAATATAAGATGTGTGAAATATGTGTAAAGCATGTCAGGTTGAAAATAGGCTCTTCCTGTGAGGTTGGAACAATCCATTTCAAGCTCAAAATGTTCTGAATTGGAAACTTTTTGCCCCTCTATTTTGATGCTACTAATGGGAGGGAGGAAATTATTTTGAATGGAAAAACAACTTTTGGGAACTGCACTAAGAGAGTTTGGCTCAGGGAAATGCATATGAGTGGTTATTTTGGGGGAGTCTCTGTTAAACCAGAGTTGTTACTTACCTTTCAGTTGTGTATGGATGGCCTTTTAAAATTGAGGTTTGGCTTTGGCATACTGGTTTATGTTTCCATCATGCTATTTTGTCCGGGAGTTAACTTTAAATGTACCATTTTTTATATCCTGCTGAATCATTTATGGAGTGTTTGCCCTTATTCCCCATCGATGGCTTAGCTGTTAGCGGAGTTGTAATTGGAGAGTAGGCGGAAAGAGGGAAATCCTGTTTTGCCCAAATCAGTGGACCAGAGAGAAAGATAATCCCAAATTAAACAGGTGGCAACAAAAGAGCAGGAAACTGCTGTGCCTGGAAGACAAATGACATCCTTTGGAGTCTTGGCTTGTACCCACCTGAAGAAAAGAGCTTGGTTGGCTAGAAGACAGAGAGGAAAATGGATGGTGTGAGCCAGAAAAGTTGAGATCCATGCAACCCCAAATGCTATGTATTTTGCTTCAAACCCAAAACAGGGAGTTCCGCTGAACCCTTCCTGATGGGCTGCAGTTCAGTAGAAACAAAACCTGTTCTGTTCACTTTTCGTTTTGGCTGAAACAAAATCTGCAAGGATCCCGGAGACATTTGACAGAGCAAATAAGGCAAGAGGACGCTGCATCACCCCGTCTCTTCTCTCCCTGGCAGTTTCTAGTGTGGCAAACCCCATAGGGCTTTCTCTCCCTCATCTTCCCAGGATCTTCCTTTCACTCCCTCCCATCAGCTGCCAGTGTTTCAGTATGGCATATCCTACCACTCTGCCATCCTCCAATCTTCTCTACCTCCTTCCCCAAAATACCTCTGCCTGGCAGAACCATATTTTGGTCCATAAGCCGAACAAAACAGCTCCATTTCATTCCATAGCCAACATCAAGCAGAGATGTTTCAATTTGGACACAAACCACCTGAAATCGATTGTTAGATGTGCAAAAGAGTTTGTGCGTGAAGCTTTTGGCACATCCCTCATATTTTTTTAAAATGTGCATAGTTCAGAGTCAGAGATTGATGTAGTGAAATCAGAACATGAGTGTGCATATTTCTTGGATGTGGGTTTGAATCTAACATGGTTCTTTATTCCCTCTGCATGGGCAGGATTTACTGTAATTTTTAGATCAAGTCCTGTAGGGGCATCTGCTGGGGGGGATGTCAAAAAGTCAAAGTAGTGGCCACGACTACACAATTGAAGCTGTGCCTTTTTAGTGCAAAACACATAAAAAACAGGTGTGCCTTCAATCACAGAGTGGCAGCTATCATCTTGATTGTTTTTACCACCAGTACTATCCCACAGATGCCCCTGAAATCCTGGATACCAGTTCCTGCTCAAATAAAGTGAATTAAATGCTAACAAAGATATTGAAAGCTAGTAATAATGGAGATAAAACCCCCTGAGCTATGGATCCTGAGTGTGAAAGAGGAAACCTATATTTCTGTCAGCAAAAGAAGTTATAGCCTTTATAACATATCAACGGAGGGCAGAGAAGTTTTAAAGTGATGGCAAAATTTTGGGTATCTAGAATCCATTGTTTCAATTAGAAGTTGCTGAGGAATTTCAAAATGACAGAGTGAAGAGTGAATGGGAAATGTCTATGGTTAACTTAAACATTTGTTCAATGACCTGTTTTCAGCGTCTGCACGATGATAAACGATAGAATTACTACACTGTTTTGGCTCATCCATCATCTTACACTGAAATGTGGTTGGCTAGTTTGTGGTGCAAACATAGCCAGGAATGAAGAGAGTTTATGTTAGTAAGAATAAGGAGGATTCAGATGACGCCCTGTCTGTTGTTTTAATTTCTGTTAGCACGCATCTCTTTGAAATTCACTCTGCCTCTTTTGTAAGAGTGATGAACATTTCTACCAATTCTCTCTGTGCATAAGCTGCAATTTTTGCAAAAACTGTTTTAGCCATGATTGCTATCTCTCCTCCTCTCCCCTCATCCAAGCCTATATAGGGTAAATTTTAGGATGTTGTTACCTTAAGCAGTCCCACTTTTTCTTCATGAACAGCCTCTACTATTCTGGTTTATCACTTAGACTTGTGTTTTAGACTTTGAAAATAAAGAACAATGTTGGGCATGTTGGTAAAACGTGATTATCACTTGCTGTGATCCTAAAAGACCATAGAACCATAGAATTGTGGAGTTGGAAGAAACCTTAAGGATTGTCTAATTCAAGTTTCTAATTACCTAATTTTATCTCATTCACTTTTTCATTTTGGCCATGTCCCTTCCATCTGGTCACAGCATCACCAGATGATTTCTGCAGCTCTTTAGAAGGTTGAGAGATTGAGTTGTGGCACCTAGTTCCTCTGTCATTGGTCACCCATGTTTATGAAAATTTATGTTGTAGTAAAAATATTGATATTTATGTTGACTTTAACAGAAAATTCAGAGAAATTCACATCATTTTTTCAGAGAAGCCGGACTACTTTAAATAGTGTGACCAACTTCAAGTGTTCCTTCATTAAAAAAAAAAAAAAGGACCTAGAGATTGGAAAAGGAGCCGTGAGAATGTTCACTGGTACTATCAGAATATTTTTGGTAGCTCTTGACATTCCTCAGATGTTTTACCTGAGGAAGAATGCCTGCTTCAAAAGTTGTTTCAGGCAAAATATCTGTATCAACCTGAATGGTAAATGGCTGATAACACCTCCTGATTAATAGCAAAACAATTTGTACCTTGTTGCCTCTGGCGATCTACACTGAGGCTCTTCCAATGTCATAGAAGCCTTCTATAGAGTGAATTTATAATGCAGAGAGTGGACCAAACTTGTCAGCCCCATGCCCAATATCACTGTGCCTTTCCAGATATGTTCCTGATCTTCAAATATTAGTTGAAAGGCCTGTAAGGAATGTCTGTCTGGGTACAGCTGTGAATCTATGGAGCTAACATATAGAAGATAGGATCCATATTGAGGCAGGACTGAAAGATAGGGTTCCACTCCTCCTCCATATAATTCTCCATATCTGGAAGTAAAGTGATTTTCTGACACTGTGAATCCTAATGTAACAAGCTTGCCTACTCAGAGTCATGTCCAAGTATTCTGTAAGTATCTTTTACTTGGAGAAATGTATCTGAATAAATTGCAATACATTGATTTGAGGGAAAAAAATATACAGTCTTGAATGTGTCTATTTTTGTTGCAAGTAACATTTTCATGTAGTCATTCTATGAACTAAAGGACTGCAATGGGCAGTCATTACTTCTTCAACTCTCTTTGGTTTTTAGAATAATATACAAATGTTCCATGTGCGACACAGTGTTTACCCTGCAGCCATTGCTGTATCGTCACTTTGACCAGCACATTGAAAACCAGAAAGTCTCTGTCTTCAAGTGTCCAGATTGCTCACTTTTGTATGCACAGAAGCAACTCATGATGGATCATATCAAGGTACATGTCATCTGATTTTACTTGGAAGCAAAATTATTGCATAAAACAATAGTGGAATGATAATTAATAATAAGGAAGCTACCAAGAGTAGATGATAGAAGGTGGGAGGTATCCTGTGCTTATAAGATGAGCAAGCACCTGAATTTAGCAGTGCATTCAGATAAAAAGGATGAGTGTCCCTCTTTATTACCATGTCAACCACTAATCCAGTGGTCCAGAACAGTATTGAAATTTGCAGTCTTTTGAAGCCCTGGATGCCTCCAGCTTCAAAACTACAAATGGCTTGACATCTCAGAGATTATTTCATGTTATGATTTTGATGATCTTATACCATGATATTAGAAAATCTCATGCAAAGATACCAAAACATGTGTAAGATTTCAGTTTTCTCTCACAAAGTGTCATGTGCTCATGTGCTCTCACATGAGATTGATAAAACAGGCAACTGTTTGCATACAAATAATAAAAAGCCATTTGAATCTTGAATATTCCATTCCCTGTAAATAGCAGATATAATCTAATTGCCTGCCTTCCTTCCTTCCTTCCTTCCTTCCTTCCTTCCTTCCTTCCTTCCTTCCTTCCTTCCTTCCTTCCTTCCTTAGTCTATGCATGGGACGTTGAAAAGTGTGGAAGGACCACCAAACCTAGGTATTAATTTGCCATTAAGTACAAAGCCTACTATCCAGAACTCAGTCAGTCACAATAAAGAGGACTCGAAATCCATCAATGGGACCGAAAAGGCAGAGAAGAATTCCCCCTCCTCTGTGAAGAAAGCAGAGCCCAAAAAAGTATCTAATCCTGGCTGGACGTGCTGGGAATGTGATCGGCTGTTTACTCAGAGAGATGTTTACATATCCCACATGAGGAAAGAGCATGGAAAAGTAAGTTGTTGCTCTAGCATCCTTATATATGTTAGCTCTATTTGCATGATATACTTAACAGAGTCATGGGGCAGGGTACATGCATCATGTGAAAACTCCAGTCTGCACAGATTTACCTAATCCAGAAAGGGTGAGATTTAACCCAAAATCTCTGGCCTTGTTTGGACTAAATGAATTCCTTCCAATCAACTAAATCTTTCCATGTCCTAGAAATGGCTTATCTGAATATGAATTGGCTCTTTTCACTGCGAGCCCAACAAAAATGGGTCCTTTGGGAACTCCCATCTGCCTCCTCTGTTTCACCCTCTCCCCTTGGCCAGATAGGAGTAGAAAAGCCCCTCCTGAGTGGTGGTATGTCTGAGGAGTGCTGACCACAGTCATACCACTGGATTTTAAAATATCCCCTCCTTTGGTGGGGAAAGAAACATGAAAAGACAGGAAGTGAAGAGACAAGTACAACTTCCTTTGTAGCAGCTGTAAGAACTAAAAAAAAAAGATTGCTGCATGATAGATCCGGCCATCTTGTGTTGTTTGATGCCAGCACACAACACAGTGAGTCTCTTGACTGGTGAGTGGGTGGCCGGGGGTTGTTCATGTTGTGTGTGAACGTTAGAGTCAAGCTGCTTTGAAGTTGGTGCTGAGCCTGTTGACTGCTGAAATATTTTATTCTTAGTAGCTGTCTGTTTCTGCACTGAATTATCTGTTGAATGTATTGATTACACCTGTGTGTTGCCAGAACCTCAGAACATGTCTCTTTTGGCAATATTAATGAAACTGTGAAAACATACCATTCAGTAAAGGAAACTAATTATGCTTGTTAAAAAAGATTGCCTGTGCATTTTTCTCTTGCATTCCTTATTAGTGTAACATACAAGGAATAAATTAGCTTCTGAAACAAAACTCCAGTCAATCAGTTTTTCCCAACTTTTGAGAGTCTGAGGCTACAAGTTCCATTACATTAAATTGCATTAAATTGCATTAAATTACAGACTGCCTCACCAGCATGCTAAGTGGGATTTTGCAGATATGCCTTTATTTATTTATATTTATATACCTTTGTTATTCATATAGCCGCCCATCTTACACAAATAACTCTGTGTACTGTTACTCGGTGTACTGTTACTCTGTTGCTCTGGGTAACAAACAGTACAAAAACCAATTTATAAAACCAACATAAACAAAACAAAATACAGAATAATTGAAAATTATCATAATGCAATAATCAAGGCATCTTACAAGAATTCACAACACTAAGCACATAAATTGGGCTTTAGTAATATCCTGGCCCTAACACCTGAAGGAAAAGTCAGGTCTTCACAGCCTTACGGAAGGCCAGTGTCAGGGCCATCCAGGGGGAAGGCTTATTTTTTCATTATTCATTATTATTAATAAAATAGGTATGCCACGCAGTACTGGGTGGTCTACAAATTATTTAAAACATTAAATATGAAAGAAACAAAAAGAAGAGTTAAAGTCAAAACAACATCCAGAGGGCACTCAGTTAGTGATTAAAACTGACCCCTGTTCTATTAATGAACTAAAGCCACTGTACGCCTTTGTTGATGTCACATATTGGTAATTGAGAATGCAGGTCTATTCCCTTCGCACAGTAAAACAGCTGCACATAACAGCTTCATCCACTGGATCAATTCATACATCTGTCTGCCCCAGAGGCATCATCAGAGTCCAGGGGTTTTATAAACATCAAAACCCAAGTTCCACCCCTTGTGTACCTGCATGCAACAGCCCAATGCATGTATGAAAGGGGAAAGGCTTACATCACAATACAGGTAGTCCTCAGTTAATGACAGTAATTGGGACTGGGAACTCTGTCACTAAGCATTGCAGCTGTAAAGTGAAATATCACATGTCCGTGCTGACTTACTTCGGCAGTTCCAGTTGCAGTCATTAAGTGAATCACACGCGGTTGTTAAGCATGATGTCACATAACCACAACTTGTGATTTCCTGCTGACTTCCCCACTGACCTGACTTGTTGGAAGCCAGCGGTTAAGGTTGCAAATTGTGACCGCAGGATGCTGCGACCATCATAATTGTGTGCCAGTTACCAAGCACCTGAACTGCAATCATGTGACTGCAGGGACCCTGCAACGGCTGCAGTTTGGGGACCAGTAATAAGTCTCCACATTCAGCGCCATCATAACTTCAAACGGTTACTGAACAAGTGGTTGGTAAGTGAGGACTACCTGTACTCATTTCATATTGGCCCCTATGGACGCTCACGCTTTGTGCATAAAGAACTAGCATACATCCCTGTCTGTAAGCTTATACACACCCCTCTCTGCATGTGTAACGTTTTCTCAGTTGTCTGTCCATTAGACTGTGGGGGGTGAGAGATTCCAAGATACAATAGGAAGAATTAAAACTGGACGTTCCTTTCCATCTACAGAAATATAAGCCCACCCTGTCCATTGTCAAGCCTCGGGTGAACTAAGTGTGTGCAAGGATCAGGGAATATTTGCTGAGTGCTGGAAGAAGGTCATGGGAGGTGGTAGAAAGGCTGGATATACAGCAAATACATCTGGAAAATGGCATGACTCAAATGCTGAACAGGAGTAGCACATTATTTTCCCCTTTCCCTCTCCCACCCTAACATTCACCAAGAAAGCAGCAGGGGGGAATGGACTCATAACTTTTTATGTCTGACACTCAATGCAAACCCCTAGGCAGGAGTAAACCTAATAAAAATCATGTCAGTTTTGCTGTCTGAGAGGGTTGAGGAGGTATGGGAGGAAGAAAGCAGCAGATGACCTGTGGGAAATCTTGTGAAAATGAAATTGGCTCCAAGCTGTTGGTAGAAACAGAAGCAGATTCGTGCAGATCTGGGCTGCTAGGTGAGACCTTCTTCAAACTCCAGATGCCTTGGACTGCTGCTCTCATCATCCTGAGCCAATGCACCCTTGCTGGTCAGGACAGGGTATTATGAGAATTGCTGTCCCAACAACTCCCCAGGATGATTAGTTGAAGTAAGCTGGTGTAATAAAATGCTGATGTAGTTTCTTTCCAAAGCTGTGGGTGCAAAGGGTAGCACATCTGAGGGCAGATGGCTAAAGGTGTGTGTTTTTGTTTGTTTATTTGCTAGTGAGATTTATATTCTGCCTTCCCTTGGGAGCTCAGGCAGCATATGTAGCACTCCCTCCATTTCTCACAAAAACAATCCTGGGGGTAGGTTGAGATGGGAGAGGGAACTTGCCCAAAGTCACCCATTGAGATTCTGTGGCTGAGGGTGGATTTGAACCTGGATCCTTGCCCCCAGATTATACTCCAGCACCTTAACTACCACACCCCACTGGCTGTAGAAGATGTGGATTTTGGGGTGTTGAGCTTGTGCTTTCCAATCTTCAGTTGTGTGGTGCTCTGCTTGCAAGTGCCTTGTTGAAAGAACTGATGTTGCAGCTTTCAGGTTGCTTCAGGTCCTGGAAACTGCCTGTTGTGAATCAAGGAATGGCATCAATGGAAGATCCATCCCTAGGACAGATGTAAGGAGGTGTAATCTGAAACAGGGCTGAGAATGTTATCTGCCCATGGATTGGGTTGCCCCTGTAGAGCCAGTTTATCTCAGTGAGCAAGATTTTAAGGAGTGAAAGCCCCACTCTGAACTGAACCCAACACCCAGACTTCTTGTTCTTCAGGCTTCTTTCTTCTCCGCCTCTTTCTTCTTAGACCAGGGTTTCTCAACCGTGGCAACTTGAAGATGCATGGGCTTCAACTCCCAGAATTCCTTAGCCAGCCAGCTGGGGAATTCTGGGAGTTGAAGTCCACACATCTTCAAGTCGCCAAGGTTGAGAAACACTGTCTTAGACAAATGCAGTCCTTTTTCTGTGGAGAGGAAGTTGAGGGAAGTAGCCATTCCCTGCCTTCTGTAGTCATGGAGAAAGCTCTTATCATCAGTCAGTTTTTATCAAAAATAAGGATATTGTCATGAATTAGGACCCTATCTCAACACTGAGCTTGGGAGAGAGAAGATGGTGGGCTGGGTGGACCCAAAGTTAGGTCAAATAGCTGACCTCAGAGTTCTGTCCCCAGTTCAGGGGAATTCATCAAGGCATACTCCAGATATCTGGGAGTCAAACACTTCAAGATCTTCAACTAGTACCAGGTTGGTGAAGGCTGTTTCTTGTTGTTGTAACAGCAGTCATTTAGATGCTTCTGGGAACTGGGCAGAAAGTGGATGCCCTTCAACAGGTCAGTCCCCTTAGTGAATTAGGCAAATCTTCAAGCCTTATTTGCCTTGGACTTGTGTATACAGTATGTATCCTAGGGAAGGAGTCTATAGCAGGACTGTGCAGTGTTTCAGATTTGATGGTAGATGCTTTGAGCTCCCTATGGGTACACATGTAGTACCTTTCAGCACCTTCTTAAACCTTGCATGTGTTTTCACAGGATTGCATTGCTGTCTGGCTCCCCCAGTCAGGACTCAGTGTTAAATCACAGACCTCCAGATTTACATTGCTTAATTGACCGCCTATGCTAGAACTTGACCGAAGTCTCATGGACGGTTAGCCATACAAGCTAGATCAGATCCGGAAACTGACTCTACAGGAAGATTAGAATAAAGCTGTATTGGAATAGGCCACATCACAGAAGTCTGATTGCACTTTTTCTGGTTTTCAGCTTCCTTTTCACCCCTACAGCTGCAGAGGGTGGGACCTGGAAAAGGATGCAGCTGTTTCAGGGAGTTACAGAGAAAGTGTACATAAGCATTCCACATGTTTTGAAGTCTATTTTTGAATCCAAAGCACTGTACAACCCTATAAGCCTAAGAGAATTGGTAACAGGAATCTGGGGCAAACCAGTCTGGTGGAAGATTTGAGGACAAAGAATGAAAAAAAGATGGATGGAAGGATCCCTGTGTTGGCCTGCATTTAACAGCTGGGTTTTTGTGTTTATATGTTCATTTCTCTGCTCTTTGCCATCTGGTCTAGTTAATGTCACCTCTCCTTGACTTCTATGGGCTTGGGGGAAGCAGTTGGAATTGAGCATATAAGGAGGTTTCTCAGTTTCCCTACACACCCACATACCCCTTGTGCTGGTGTATCTATTAGGTTATTATAGGTAAGGGAGAAGTTATTCTCATCGTTTTTCCAAAAATAATTATCTGTGTGCATCTCCCTCTAGTGGACATGGTGGGGTTGACTATAGACATGACTAACTTCAGTCCTGTTTCTTTCAGCAGTTCCGCTTTAAGTCTGCAGAATTTAAGTCTGCACACAGCTGACTGCTTTGAAACTGGTTCGGACAAGCATTGCCAAATTGTTTCCAAGAGCCAGTGGTGTTCAGAATGCTCTCCTTAAGGTTCCAGTCTGAATCCCTCTGTTGAAATTTAAATGTATCTGCTCCTTCTTCAATGTTTTATTTCCTTTCATTAAAGCAAATGAAGAAACATCCTTGTCGACAATGCGACAAATCATTCAGTTCATCACACAGTCTTTGCCGTCACAATCGTATCAAGCACAAAGGAATCAGGAAAGTTTACACCTGCTCGTAAGTTCTGCTTTTGAAAGTTTTTGTTCACCTAAACATACAAATATTTAGCAGTACCACATAGTAAAGGGCCTGGCAACAGTTAAAGATTTGTCATAGGTCTTCAGGTTTGCAATGTCATTGAAGAATCCTTGTGTGTGTTGTTTGTATGGTGCTACTTCAGTGGGTCCATCAGATCTTTGTCTAGTAGGGTTACCTAGAAGACTTGGGGAAGGAGAGCTTTCACCTTCCACGCATCTTGGTTAGGTATATATTGCCTGTTAATTTTTGAGTATAATTTGGATCACACCACACATTTGAACCTATCTGTTCATAGTCTGCTCTGTGTTTTCTTCAGGCACTGCCCAGATTCCAGAAGAACTTTTACTAAGCGATTAATGCTAGAAAAACATATTCAGCTGATGCACGGCATTAAAGAACCTGATGTGAAAGAAATGGCAGAATCAACCAACATGGGAGAAAGTACAGTCAAGGAAGACACAAAGGTGAGATACCGTGTATCTCATGATGCATCATGTGTATCATGTTTCTGTAGAAGCAGGTCTTTTTCCCCCTTTGTTAGCAGCATCCATAGGAGGTCAAAAATCAAAACATTGGTCATAGCAGTGCAATCACAGCTCCACCCCTTGCATGCATCATTGTTGCATGCATGAAAAAAGGATGAGGCTTTGATCACTCTGTCATGACCACCATTTTGGCTTTTATTTTATTTTATTTTTTAATCTCTACATCCACCCTCTGTGAATTTCACTGTTCCTTTTCTTTATTAAAAATAATTGGAATACCAACTCACTGAAATTTTGGGCCCTTGCAACAGATCATATCTGGAAAGGATGGGTTATTTAGTTTTGGGGGCAGTAATAGGAAGGAAGCACCTAAAGATGAAACTATCCATTCTGTAGTCTATTTGAGGGCATAGTACAGTTTTTATGCCATGATTATGTCCTTTGATTTACTTGCACTGGTTTTTTCAGCCAGACCTGCGGACATTATAGAACTAGAGATTCCGTCTCTGTCTTAAGAGGCAGGCTGAGGTGTGTCAAGTAGGTCAGGTTGGTGGTTATACTGTAAGGCTGGATTGGGAGCGAATCATAGAAATCTCATCCCATATCCCATATGGATTTGCCTCAAGCCAGATCAGGATGTTGGTCCAGCTATCCTAATATTTCTGCAGAAGCTGGCTTGGCTCTCATAGGCCTTAGACTAGCACATTGTGTCTAATAGTCATTGTGAATTGAGTCCTTCATATATGCCGTTATGTGCTGAAAACTGAACCATGGCTGCTCTTGAACTTCTGCCAAGCCAATCTAGGGAATCCCTTTATAATGTGAATGATTTGAGGGTGATCTGGCTGTGATATGTGTCCCCTGTTGCTCACCAGGCTTGATTTTGCTGGTCTGGCTGGCAGGATGGGTGTCCTCTTCCTCCTCCACTGCTCCATGTCCTGAAGCTGTGCACTTGGTAGGGTATACCATTCTTCTGAATAGTGATATGCAATAGCTGCACCTGCTAGAATCTCCCAGCAAGCTTGTTTGTATCTTCTGCACTCTGCCCTGTTCATGTTGTGTGAGAATTTTGATATGTTATTAGCATAGGCATCAAGGGAGTGCACTGGGTGAATAAGAGTCTCTAGATAAGATCTGAAGAATTCTGTGAAACAGCAGAGCTCACGAGAGTTGACTTTGCCATATTTCTGAATGGATGGAGGAAAGGGCCCAGTACACACCAATTCCTCAAGCACACACTCAACAGCCTTTGTTACTGGCGGTCTCATCACAGTTTTCCATATCTGCAGTTGATAAATAGAAACCAACTTTCAGTGTATGATAAAAAGTTCTGCAAATTTGCAGTTTGGGCCTTGTTTTTGGTTGCTTTATGCTTGTCGGAAATGGCATATGGGCTTTTGTGCATTCATAATTTTTTTTAAGAATTGCCTTTGTAATGTATCTTTATTTGCTCCTCCTTCCCTCTCAATCGCAACAAATCTCCCTGGATCAACCATCGGGAAGTATCATGGCAGCCAGCCTCCTTCTTCAGAGTGAATTGCTTAGCTGCTTGTGCCACTCGGCTGATACTGGCTTCACTGCTTCATTCAGTTCTTTTCTGGCATTGATGAAGGGCCTCCCCGTTGTGTCGCTGGATGGCTGTGGGGCCCACAGGCTACTTACAGCACCACACTGTGCAGTCATTGGGGCAAGCCACATAGCTCTTTCACAGTCTTAGTGATAAGCCATTTGACAGCTGCGCATGGCTCACTCCAGTGCATGGTGCAAAGCCGCACGTAGCCAGTGGGCAGGAATAGTGTCTAATGGTGCAGTCAAGAGGCTCCTCTGCTGAGATGGCAAAAAAGCTTCAAGGAGCAGACAAGCCGGTGCAGACATGTGGCATAAGTGATGTGACTCCCTTCATCACCAGCCAAGCAAGTCACTCCAGCCGCCTCAAGGAAGCCGCGTGGAGCCTCATAGCTGGGCTCCCCCAGTGAGTTCTGCTGCGACTGAATGAAAAGAAGGAGGGGGAAATACAGATTCATTCCACAGACAAACACTATGGGAGGAAACTTTTATGGAAGATAGAGGATGGCCAAAGGCTCTGGAAGCAACCCTCTCAATTCCTATACACTTTAGGTCTCATTTGTAGTTTCATTGTTCGTGATTTGACCCTGGAACAGAACCCCCATGGATAAAAAGGCTTCAAGTCCAATATACCGAGTACAGAACCTGCCCCTTGGAACTTTATGCCTTTTTCAGATTGTTCAGAAAGCTAAAGGGCAACTTGGAATCATGCAGTCTGCGGGTGGGAAGGGTTTTCTATTCAGTAAATATTAGATAGTAGCTGGTAGATAACTGCATTTGCCATCTTTGGTGCCTGTTTCAATTTTTTCTGGAAACAGGCCAGAGGCAAGCTGTGCTTTGACAACCAGCTTTGCTAGGAACAGATGTCTACCAAGTCTACTCCCCAGGTACAGACACCTGAGGTTTAAAAAGATCATCTTGTAGGTCCATCAAAGTCCAGTTCCACCTCTGTACAACCTGAAGCCATATGCTGACTCCAAAGCTTTTGGTATAGCCCCAAGAATTCTTTCAAAAAGTTGCCACTGAATTTTCACCTGCCAGAACAGAAAGAATATTAAGCCCATGAGAAATGATTGTATGAACAGTATATAATTAAAATTACATCAAATGTAGTTTTTGTCCTGGCCCCTTCCATTTGTTTTTGTCCTGATAGAGCAGGCCCTTGGCCTGAAAAAAATGTTGCACATCCCTATTTTAGAAACTTATAAATGGGGCACAAGGTTCTAGCCTACTCTGTTGTTTGTCTGGTACCATTTGTTGTTATCCTTGTAAAGATAGAAGAAGACATTATTATGGCTAATAATTGCTGAAATACCAGTCCTCCTAGTCCCCTATGACTCCCTTCTTAAAGTCACCTTATGGTAGTTACCGTCTTCATATCACACAAAGGTTTATATAAATTATACTACAGATTGCAGGAAAGATTTCTTCTCGTCTGTCCCAAACTTCATTTCAATTACAAGAGCTCTATATGAAAGTGACTGGCAGTGTTGTTCTTTGTTTCTTTAATGGACATGTTTAATGTTGTTCTCAACTTCTTCAGGTTCCCAGTCCAAAGCGTAAATTAGAGGAGCCAGTCCTGGAATTCAGGCCCCCTCGAGGGGCCATCACTCAGCCGCTGAAGAAGTTGAAAATCAATGTTTTTAAAGTTCACAAATGCGCCGTCTGTGGCTTCACAACAGAGAACCTGCTTCAGTTCCACGAACATATTCCCCAGCACAAATCTGATGGTTCCTCCTATCAATGCAGGGAATGTGGTCTTTGTTATACATCCCATGTCTCTTTGTCTAGGCATCTCTTCATTGTACATAAGCTGAAGGAACCTCAACCTGTTTCAAAACAGAATGGCTCTGGAGAAGACAGTCAGCAGGAGAACAAGCCCAGTCATGAGGAGGAATCAACTGATCGATCCACATCCGACAGGAAATGCAAAGTGTGTGCAAAGACCTTTGAAACTGAAGCTGCCTTAAACACCCACATGAGGACACATGGGATGGCCTTTATTAAATCCAAGCGGATGAGTTCAGCTGAAAAATGACCTGCTCCTTTCTTTCATCCCATAACATCTTCCAAAAGGAAAAAAGAAAAAAAGAATCAGCCTTCCTACTTCAGAATGGGTTGAATTTCTTTGGGGGGGGTATAAAAGATTTACCACACCGTAGATTTAACAATTCTGTCCCAGGTTGTTGCAACAGATTCTGCTCTATTCTATATTCCAATTTATCTTCCTCGCCTCATATCACTATAGAGGTATATAGATATTCATTCATTCATTCCCCTGAAAGACAGTATTAAAATGCAGTATTTGAGTCTAAAAGAATTTGTATATATTTAAACAAAGAAATTTTATAGTCTTTGTTACATGTTTGTATTTAGTGGGAATTTTTTCTTTTTTGTCTGTCTTTCTTGCTTATGTCTTTTCTAACAGCTGGTTTGTTTCAAAGCAGAATTCTTAAAAGTTGGAGCAATACTTTAGATTTATTAAGCTGCATCAGATGTGATCCTTTTCTGAGATTACGTGAGCAGCATGGGAAAAATTCCCTTGTGTTTCTTTCTCATACTCCCTTGGAAGAAGAACCCCAGTGAAACAGTTCCTTCCCCACCAACATCACCCCTCCAGGAAACTAGGGTCATGTTGACACAGGAAAAGATGAACCCTGGGTACATTCACATGTCCTTGGACTCCACTTAACCAGAAATGTCTGATATTGCCAAGATTGTGCTGGAAAGGAGCTCATGTATTTCTGAATTAAAAGTCAGAAGAATTGTATCTGAGCAGTATTGGAAGAGAAGGGTTTTTAAAAGTCAAATGAAATATCTACTTTTGTTGCGACTGAATGATCAGTTGCAGTTGGACCCCCAAATGATTAGCCCGTTTCCTAATTCTTATGACTGGGAGGATTAAGGGTCATTTTAATACAACCTCTTGCTTAAATATTTCAGGTGTTTTTAGAAGATCTATTCAATTTGAGGATTTCTCTATATAGAGAGAAAATTCTGGAAATTCAGCCCATGAGGGCTAATCTTTGCAAGAGCTCCAGTGGAATGAAAAGGGATTAAATCAAAGCAGTGTCTTTTTCAGTGGTGCTGGCAGAGAAGAAAAATTGTTATTGCCATGTGTTATTTCAATCATTGTCTTTCTTCGCAGTCCTCTACTGTGCTCTGAGAAACGTCACTGAATGTTGCATAACCTTTTAAAGGCCACTTGAAGATGTGTTTCAGTATTTTGAATTTTTCTTTTTCTGCTATATAAGATGCAGAATAAGCTTAACTATTTTAGATTTGTGGTACTTACAGTCAATCCAGTTACAGTTATGGAGGGATGAAAGAAGGTCATGTGTCAAGTCAGTCTGCTTCAGCAGCAGTTTTTATAGGATGCCAAGCATTCTTTTAATCATAGATACCACAGATTTAAATTGGGGATCTTCTGCATGCAATGCCACTGATCTATGGACCCTCTCATACAAATTTAATTCAAGTGTTTACTGAAAAGCACATTCATAATTGGGCATCGTAATGATGGAAAATCTCTCCTGCAAGGATGGTAGCTGCCCTTGGGCCCTCATTGGCCCCTCAGACCCTCTGAAGGATTGGAGAGTCCTGCTGGCCATGGATGGGAAACAGGAAGGATTTAATGAGTAGTGCTATATACGTTTGTGTGAGTTACAGAAATACTAACAATTGCAAGATCATGCATTACTTAAAACGTCTTGTTATTTTAAAGCAAGTTTCTTTCTCTCATGAGAAGCGCTGAATGTTAAGACCGTAGAACCCAGAGGACCATGGGCATGAGCAAGATTTTCAGGTTTCATAGAATTCAGAACATAGAATTGTCATCTGGGCTTTTCTTCACGGCAGATCTTTGGCAAATTTATCCTGTAAAGGGCTTGTAAGATGAATCCATGTTTGTTCTTCTGGTGCTTCATTTTAGTCTAGTCAAAGGCCAAGTAATCTCTTTAAAGCCGGGGTTCCTAAACGTTTTGCCATCACACCTCCCTTTAGTGTAATCTTAATGTACATACCTCCCCTAAAAGTCCAAACATCTGAATGAACACAAATGAACAATGAAAGCAATACAGTGAAACTTCGGGAAAGGTGGATTTATTGCAACAATGTACAGCTAAAAGGTTCTTCACACTCCCCTGGCCTCTGTCTGCACTGCCCAAAGGAGGTACATCTCACTGTTTGGGAAACCCTGCCTTAAAGTATTGGCTTGGGCGGGGCGGGGGACATCAGTGATGATGTCTTACAAAACAGTTGGCTAGACTATTTCCTAGTATTTCTGAACTCTGCAATTTTGTGAACCTTTTGTGTGCTTTTGGGATTTTTTTGTTGTATTATTTTGGTTTGAATCGGCCCTTTTGCCCACTTAAGAATGTGTATAGATAATTCCAGGCTACCCAGAATGTTTGATCCTCACATGTCCCTGCCTTGCTTCTGATCCCTTGGTGGCATTCAAGTTACTGCCACCAACCTTTGAATTTGGAGTTATTCCGGGTAGTTGCTTCCATGGGGGTTAACCTTTTGGATAAAACTAACCCGGTCTGAAAACGTCTTCCAGTTTCCGGAACGTGTCATCCCTTGCATCTCTTTTTCTGCTTTATTCTTAGGCTGTTCTATCATTCCTTTTGGTGGTGGTTTTGAGCTTGCATTAATATTGCAAGGTGACAGAAGTTGTCATGATGTTTTTTCTCCAGTCGTCTGTTTCCCTGACTTCCCACTGGAGGAATTTCCTCCAGATGTCTCCCCTTGGCATTTATTGGAAGTGTGGGAAGTAAGGGAAGCTGCAGACACCTGTAAGAACAGTTGCAGAAGATGGCAGGGAATCTCACCCAAGTGCTTTGACCCGGATGACTACAAGGATCCCACTTTCCACCTACTTTCAAAAGCAGTTTGTTTTCCATCAAAATGGATGAAAACAGTGGAAAAAATTGCCGCAGAAATTTTCAGCCTGGCACTAATTAAAAAGAAGGTGATCCAAGAGCTGCACTGGCTCTTTTGGTCTCTCAGTCGAGTCTCCCATTATATATGAACAAGGTAGAGATTTATGCAAGTTTAAGGAATTGCTGAAATCTGAAAGATGTGTGATTGCCAAGGTGATGGATGAAAAGTTTGCTATTTCAGAAAAATGACTTTTTTCAGGATATACGTTAAATCAATGTTAGTCTTAGGACTGTGAGGTGCAGGCATCCTATTGCATCACAGAAAGAGATGGTAAGAACCATCAAGCACTTGAAATGTAAAAGGTGTTATATAAATAATAATCAATAAATAATTCTAGCCATCTGGTGGCTTCTGAATTTGGAAAGATGATATAAATTCTAAAAAAAAAAAACATTCCAGTGTACAGGTTATACATATACATCATATAGGTTAAGATTCTAGGTAATATTAGGAGTTATAAAGTGCTTTAGATTATTCCAAGTGCTTCACATATATTATCTTGACATTTCTTGCATTCCTGTTAGATAGAGATAAGTGTTGTTATTCCTATTATCTCACTGAGGTGAGAGAGCATTGAGTCATAGCCAGCAACTTGTCTAAGGACACATGAATTCAGAGCCAAGGTTAGATTTGTATCTGGGGTTTCTCAGCTCTGCCACCATTACAGCACATCAGCTCCTTTACCACTTTGTGCTCCAGATCTCACGGGGCATGTAGTGCTAGCCTAATCCTTCCAAAAAAGTGTAACCTGCATTTTAGACAGTTCCCATGCAGGAATTCAGTTGCTAAATATGGTACATTATGTGGTGGACTACAGTATTTAGACCAATTGAGGTCACTCTTCTAGATGGGTGTTTCTAATTCTGCTGGTTATGAGTCTGTACGAACAGCCTACAGATAAAAGGTGAAAGTAGCTGAAGCAAAGATCTGAAGCCCTGTTTCTCACACTAAAGCCTTTTCTTCTTCTGTTTGCATATTTGACAATGGTAGACATTGGTCTCCCACAGAGATTTAAGAGACATCTTGTAGATGTTATTCTGCTGCCACAGAAGTCAGTTCTGAACCAGGTCCACTCAACCAGAGACTACCGCAAAACATTAAAAGGAGAACAAGTGGTGAGTCTGGCCAGGATGTTCTCAGAGATCAAATATTCAGACAAGGTTTTGTTGAGGGAAGAGATCCCCATGGTTTCTTCAGTACTGGAGAACGTTTCTCTGAGAAATCCCATTCAGCTGTCTCTGAACTGAGAGGGAAATTGTATTTAAGGTGCTCGTAGGTGTGTACGTGTCAGTATTACCATTTACACCAAAGCTGTTGAAAGATTGTGAAGGTTTGGAACAGACGTCCTTGTTGCACAAGGACCGAGGGAGCAGATCATCACTTTTGCATTGTGTAGCTGTTTACCCATATTCTTCTGGCACAAACGTATTGATTTAGAACCATATGGTTCTTATTTCCTCAAAACCTTCTCTACTCTCTTCTGGTGCTTTTTTTGGCGGGGAGGGGAGGAAACAACACTTCAGGTTCCACCCGTTATTGCTGGAAAAGAATTCCAGGATGGAAAAGGTACTGTCTGCTGTCCCTTACACACTCGAAGGTTCTCAAAAGGCCTTCGTTTTGTTCTGTTTTTGCTTTTGCCCCACATCTGTATTCCCTCTACCAATTTTGTACTTTTTTAAAAATCAAAAACATTCTGTGTATGTATGTAATGTATGTAAATATGTATAGCTAAGAGAGAAAGATGCTTGCATGACTTTGACATAGTAAATGTTCTGTTTTTAAAAATCAAGGGAAGGTGTTGCTACTCTTGAACATTACCCATTTTGTCCATAGTTATTGTATTAAAACACATTTCATATGTAAATAAATGTGGGGCTTCTTTTCTTTTCTTTTCTTTTTTTTTGCTTTGCCCCGAAAGAATTATGAAAAACTGTTATTTATTGATGAACTGTTTGACAACTTTAAGCACGCAGGAGCAGAGAACTTCCTCTAAGATGAATTGTCTCCAACCTGTGATTCTCTTTATGGATCCATGCTGGTTGGGGACCGGGGAAGACACTTCTAGATATCTGGTAGAGACAACTTCCAGCGTTTGACTTCAATTGCTCTTGATTTCTTTGATAACCATTAAATGCTCATTATACTTTCCCTCCTTTTTGTACTCACCAAGGGTTGGGTGGATCTGAAGAGCTTCTGGATTCTCAAAGCTGCAGTAAAGAATGCAGACTCCTGTTACTCTTCTGTCAGTGATGTATACAAGCTTATCACTGCCTTTTTTAAGGAAAAAAAAGAACCCTGTGTACCTCTTAAAGCCTCATGCTTGTTGATGTGCACTTTTCAAGATAACAAATGGGTTGTCACTATGCGGTAATGATGGTTTTTTTGTACAGTGCGAATGAATAATAAAGTTACCTTTTTATTACAGGAAATTTTTGATCAGTTGTCCTTTTCTGTGTAACTGCGCGGTCTTCTCATTATCTGGTGCTTGCAAGATCAAATGCCAAAGCATTTTGTGTCACCACATAGGTACATTTTAGGGGGAAAAGTCTTGCAATGTAGTTGTCTCAAAACAGTCTTTAGCTTGGGCCAGAAGTATAGTTTGACACAACTCTGGGATCCTACTGGCTTTTTTCATACATTAGCAATGTTGTACCATGCCCGTTACAGATATGAAGAAAAGATCTAGAACTGAGAGTGCCTTACCCCTCTTTCTATTGCTTTTGGTGCCATCTGAAATTAGGATGTTGTTATTGACAGTAACTACACTTGGTAATGTGTTCTTGGCTCTTTGTTTAAGGTTCCATAAGTATCCTTATGATGTTAGGATATAAATCAATAATAATAATACCATATACCTACAGTGACCACACATCCTTTATTATGAAGGACAGCCCTTTATTTCAGAAAGCTGTCCTTTAGATTTATTTATTTTTCAAAAAACTCACATTTGTCCTTTATGTCAGTCATTTAATTTTTACGATAGTACAAATGGTACCGCTTAATGCACAGTCTTTCCCATTCCTGTGAAAAATATGGAAATTGTATTGCCTTTTTAAAATAAATTTACATATGCTGTTTGATTTTAGATGTTTTTGCTAGAATATGTGTTTTTGTAACATTTTTCTTGGTTTTGCCCTTGAATTGTCCGTTGTAAAGCAAAGTTATAAATGGCTGGTGTGGGTCTTCCGGGCTGTGTGGCCGTGTTCTGGAAATTTTGTTTCCTAACG